CTGTCCCTCCTCCTGCCTTCCATCTCTGTGACTGGTACCACCTTCCACTGCCTTCCACTGGAAGAAATGTGGGCCCCATCTTTGACCCCTCCATTCTCATTGGTTCTCACGAGCCAGCCCTTAAGTTTACCTCCAAATGTCTGCTGAGTCTGTCTTCTCTCTGTCTCCACTACCTCCATCCTGGCTCTAGACCTCCTTGCTGACCTGCGTTCCTGAAGAATCCTCCCTGGCTCCCTGGATTCAATCTTACCTTTGACCCTTGCCCTCTTGACACTGCAGCCAGAATGATCCTTCTACAATGTAAACCTGACCATATCAGTTCTCTTCTTAAAACCCTTTAATGGCTTCTTATGGCCCTTAGGATGAAATCCCCATTCCTTAAATAGGTTAAGAAAGGCTCTTGGTGGTCTGGCCTGTACCTGGCTCCTCCGTGGCTTCCTGCCTGCAGCTGTCCCGAACTGCTTTCAGTTTCCTACCTTGGTCGTGATCTAGCGCTTGCAGGCTTTTCACATTCTTTTTCCTCTGCCTGCATTCTCCTCCCTATTTTTGCCTGGCTACTTTTTATTTGTCTCCCAGATCTCAACTTCGCTGTCCCTGTAAAAAGTCTTCTCTAATTCCTTCAAGGCTAGGTTAGATACCCCTATTATATGCCTCTTTCATGGTGCACATAAAAGTCACATCATTTGATGATTGCCCATCGAATTGTCCTTCTTCCCTTCTGAAGTGTAAACTTCATGAGGATGGGGAATGTTGGGCTTATTCACTGGTATATCCCAGACATCTAGCACAGTGCCTGGCATGTTATCTATCAAGAAACATGTCTTTTACTATATCATTGATATTTACCAAGAGCTATTCTTTGCCAGTGGGTCCTAAGCTTCTTCAGGTCAGGACCGAATCTTGTTCATGGTGCTGTACCTGGCACCTTGTGTTAAATAAGTTTGTTTCACCAATCACTTTTGGGAGCTTTATTCCACCTGAACTTATTTAAAAAATTATATGGTTGTAAATCTTAAGAGTTATATTAGACGAAACTAGGAAGTAATGTGATAAATTTAATAAATGTGCTATAATGTATACATCCAAAGGAGTACTGCCCATTCAGTATTGTCTGAAATTAAGAAGAAGGAGCCTTAAGGCACTTACTGTAGGGTTAGGTTGGCATGGGTTTGAAACCCAGCTCTCCCGCTTCTCTGAGCCTGGACTTCCTCATCAGTAAGATGAGAATATAATGCCTGCCTTGGCAAGGTTGTTGCAGAGATTAAACGTTTATGAAAAGAACTGCCATAGTGTCTGGCACGCAGTAGTCCTGTGAATTTTAAGTTATTTTCTATTCCACCAATGCAGCCGTTACAGAAAATGTTTTTGAAATTTCTTTTTTGAAATAGTTTTTAGAGCTTTCTGTCTAAAAATATGTCAGAATATGTCAATAGGAGAAATATTTTTTCCTTTGAGGATACGTTTGATTTTTAGATACAGTTTGGTTCAGAGAGTGTGATCAACATAGTTAATACCACTTTTGATATTTAAAAAATTAAATGTGATTATAATGAGGATTTCTTTTGTAGTGTCTAAATTGGTACATATTCTGGCTTTCTCACAGGTGGCATTGGCAGCATGCACGTTCCATTAGACACCGTAAAATCCAGGGAATTAACGATCAAAAGATCTATTGATATTGAATAGCAGGCTGATACATCAAGCAGTATTAGTAAGCTCGAGAGAGCTGAGATCTTTAATAATATACTTCATCACAAGTTTAACCATCAAAATTTTACTCCTAGCAAAAAAGAATTGAGGAAAAAAATGATCCAAGGTGCTACCCATATTCTTGTATATGTTTGGGGGTCTTGTGTTTTCAGCTGGGTCCACAAGCATCAGTGTGGCTGATTCAGTAAGGAAGATGGTATCTACTAATGACCCAGAGGAGCCTGGCGCCCTCGGAGGCCTGTCCCTAGTAGGAAGAGGAGGAAGCTGGCTGGGGGAAATGGACAGGGGTGTAGAGATAGGCACTCAGCTTTTATAGCAGCATATACTTGTACAGAATAATCCACAGGATGTCTTTGTAGGAAAAGAGAGTGGAGGCACAGGTCATTCTGTCTACTAGGAAAAACACTTTGAGGCAGGTGGTTGCAGGAAGACAGTCCTGTGAGGCTGGAAGTGGTACCCCAGGCAGTATGGAAGCTAGACTGAGGGTTAGCCGAGCCCGGGGGAATCTGGTGACAATGCTCAGCTGACTACAAGGAGCCCAGTTTTATTTTATGATCTGGCCGTTACTGAGGCCAGTAACCTCGTCATTGTGCAGAAGGGCATGAGCGTGAGGGATCAAGTCAACTATAAAGGGTGACTGACATGTTAATTATTTTTAAATATTTTACTAGTTTGTACCCTGAATATACCTCATCTTGCATGTGTGTATATATTTTGTTGATGTTAGAATAATTCACCGGGAGCAGTTGATGGAGGGGCATGTGAAGAGAAGAGCAGAACGTGAATATTTGTGACTCTTGGGTGGGGGAGGGGAGGGGAGCTTGTAGGACTCCCTTCGCCACAGGGTAGTAGGGAGCAGTGTCACTCAAGCAGGCTGTAAAGGCGCCTTGTGGGGTAGACCTCACAAGGGATCCGTCCCCCTCAAATCTTCGTTGTAAAACCGTATGTGCTTTTGAGGTACTGGTGTCATTATAATTGTAATGGGACATTGTCATTGCCCTTAGGTTTCAGGTGGGCAGCAGAGATACTTCCCCTTAGGGAAGAAATACTTCCACTTTCTCATAGAAGCTGACTGCTCTGTGAAATCTAGGAGTTCTCCTCCAGCCTGGCTATGGAAGAAAACTCCATAGCCTTTGACTGCAACCATGGCAGAAAGCAAAAGATTGTTTAATTTTTTTAGTTCAAACTTAAATGTCAAAATTAGATTTGAATTACTATAAAAATGCAAAATTCAAGGTCTTTGATGTTATGAAAAAGGTCTAGACAGAAAATTTAAGTGAAATAACACTTTTCTCCTTTTAATTCTTTCCTATAAATTGTTTATTGGTCATGTTTTCTGGGTATTAGTTTTCTTAACTGTTGTTAACCAGGTTGAAGGTATTATCTTAGCAGTGCCAGCAACATGCATTAGAATTGACTCTTACAAGGAGAAGATTCTGGAACCCAGTAGGCAGTCAGCCATTTAAAGTGCTCTTAAGGTATAAGTGGCACAAACATTTTAGAAAGCTTTATGCTAAATAGATGAACATGTTCTGATAGAATGTTTTCATTTTTGCAAGGCAAAATTTTGCCTCATGTCCAAATTTTCTGTTTATGATATAATTGAGTATCTGACTGTGATATAAAAAATAAGAGATTTAGATCAGCGGTCCCCAACCTTTTTGGCACCAGGGACCAGTTTCGTGGAAGACAGTTTTTCCAGGGACCGGGTGTGTGTAGGGGATTGTTTTGGGGCGATTCAAGCGCATTACATTTACTGTGCACTTTATTTATTATTACATTGTAATATATAATGAAATAATTATACAACTCACCATAATGCAGAATCAGTGGGAGCCCTGAGCTTGTTTTCCTGCAACTAGATGGTCCCATCTGGGGGTGATGGCAGACAGTGACACCCGAAGTGTGTTGCTTATGTCCAGTCTACTCCGTAAGATGCAGCTTAATTGTCACTTGCCACTCACTGATAGGGTTTTGATATGAGTCTGCAAGCAGTTGATTTATTATGGTCTCTGTGCAGTCAAACCTCTCTGCTAATGATAATCTGTATTTGCAGCCGCTCCCAGCGCTAGCATCACCGCCTCAGCTCCACCTCAGATCATCAGGCATTAGATTCTCACAGGGGGTGAGCAACCTAGATCCCTCACATGTGCAGTTCACAGTAGGGTTCGAGCTCCTATGAGAATCCAAGGCTGCCGCTGATCTGACAGGAGGCGGAGCTCAGGTGGTAATGCGAGCGATGGGGAGTGGCTGTAAATACAGATGAAGCTCTGCTCGCTCACGCACTGCTCACCTCCTGCTGTGTGGCCTGGTTCCTAGCAGGCCACAGACTGGTACCGGCCTGTGGCCCGGGGGTTGGGGACCCCTGATTTAGGTAAAGCACTAGCAGAAGCAACTACATATTAAATTTATTTCTGGCAAATGACCTGAATAATTTCTACTGGATAAGAAAAATGCAGGGTATGTGCATTCATTTTCTACTGCTGCCCTAACAAATTACCACAAGCTTAGTGATCTAACACAGCACAAATTTATTATGTTATGGTTTTGTGGATTAGAGGTCCAACACAAGTCTCACTGGGCTAAAATGACGGTGTTGGCAAGGACAGCGTTCCTCTGGAGGCTCTGGGGTGAACCCATTTCCTTGCCGTCACAGCTTCTGGAGGGTACCCACACTCCTTGACTTACGGCCGCCTTCCATCTTCAAAGCCAGTGAGGTTGCATCTTTCTGACCATCCTTCCATGGTCATATTTGCTGCTGAAGTTTCTCTGTTTTTAAGGACCCTTGTGGTTTGATTGGGCCCACCTGCGTAATCCAGGATTCTCTCCCTATCTCCAGATCCTAACTTAGTCACATCTGCAAAATCCCTTTTGCCACATAAGATAACATTTTCAGGTTCTGGGATGTGGACATCCTTTTTTTTTTTTTTTCTTTGGCCGAGCCATGCAGCTTGCAGGATCTTAGTTCCCCAGCCAGGGATTGAACTCAGGCCCACGGCAGTGTAAGCGCTGAGTCTTAACCACTGGACTGCCAGGGAATTCTCAGATGTGGACATCTGAGAGGGAGGAGGGATTATCATGCCTCCCATAGTACGGAAACCTAACACCGGGTTTCATTCAGAGAAAGTATTTTTCAAATGTGCCCATGATTTGTTACAGGTCTTAAGAAACTTTGACTTGGGTATTTTACAGGGAAGAGTTATACATATTTCTAAAAATGACAATGATTTGCTTGGATCTGAACCTACTTATTAAAGCTAACGTTCATTCTGTTTTGTTTACTTTGATAGTGATAACCTACTAAGGAGAGCAGCCTGTCAAGAAGCTCAGGTAATGCCATTTAATATGAAACAGTTAAAACCCGCCTTATCTCCACTGTGCAGAAATCTCAGGCTGTTCCAGGGGGACTTGCACAGTGCCTTGCATCAGCGCAGCTTGGCTGTTTTTTCCCCACTATCGGGGTGAATCAGGCTGCCAGCCAACTCTGAATAGAACTGGAGGAAGTTAACAATCTGGTGAGGAGCAGTTCCAATGCCCACCCCTTTAGGCTTGTTTACTTCTGGATTAGTCCAGAGAACACAGAACTGGACTGGTTGGCACTCTGGGAATTTGTTCATGTCTGCAGGTGTCCTTGAAGATCTGGCTAAAGCCCGAATCATCCCTAATCCGAATAACCCCCAAGGATATCAGTTCAGAACAGGTGTTACCTCTCAAAGTCAAATCTTCTTAAAACTGTTGATTCATATTTTTAAAGCCTGTCTCTTTAGCACAACTGATTCAGACCCTCTCCCATGATATTGCACTTAAATATTCATCTATCTAGTTGTAGCTGAATTGTTAATCCTTTCAGGTTTAAGGCCACAATTTTGTTCTTCCCTCCCCTCCAAATGTGTGCGTTATACATTGCAGATTAACTTGCACGACTGAGTTGCCTTTTTGTTACGTCATTCAGGCATACGATGTCAGAAATACCAAAAAAGAACCATGAAACTAAAAAATGACAAAAGACATGATGCATTCAGTAGGAGAGGTGGGTGGCAGACCTCATGTTTGTTTTTGAAATGTTTCCGTGGATGACAATGACAATAGATACTATTAATAAATTCCTCTTTTTAGTGATTCCCTAACTGTTCTAAATCCGTGTTTCAGGAATTCGATTGCTTTGTTGTTTTTATCTCTTACGGCTCTAAGTTGTTTTGGAAATCAATTCAAATAAACTTTAATATTAAATTTGAGGTGATCTTTACCCCAAGCTAATTTTCCACTAGCAACTGGAAAATCGTCTTGGGAGGGGAAGGCTTTCCCCCTTGAAGGAAGAGTGGTCATGGGGTACTCCCTTTCTTGTGCAAAGTAAATACCTCCACCTCTGTTCTGAACTCCGTCTCCTCTTACTTTTCCCGCTGTTCTAATTCTCCACTTCCCGACACCCATTTAGCTCCTTCCATCTGAAAAAAGGAAGCGAATTCATCCTTATAGCCCCCTCCCTCTAGTTACTTTTCCTGTCTGTGTCCTTCCCTTTTCAGTCTAAATTCTTGAAAGAATATGATTTTTTTTGTGCGTGGTACGTGGACCTCTCACTGTTGTGGCCTCTCCCATCGCGGAGCGCAGGCTCAGCGGCCATGGCTCACGAGCCCAGCCGCTCCGCGGCATGTGGGATCTTCCCGGACCGGGACACGAACCCGTGTCCCCTGCATCGGCAGGCGGACTCTCAACCACTGCGCCGCCAGGGAAGCCCGATTTTTTTTTTTAATCTCACATAAACTCACCTCATTGTAGTCTCATGTAAACCTGAGACATGAGTTGCAGGTAGATAAGACTTCTAGAGGCTAAAAACCCAGGACCAGGAGGAATAATCTAGAACTGTAGATCTGGAATCTGGCAGGTTAATTAAATCATTTCTGGCCAAATTCCAGAAATAATATGGATAGAAAAAGAACAAATTACAATATTTAGAGAGTTGGCAGCAAAACGTTAAGATCTAACTCAATAAGAGTGAAAACAGAGTAGTAATTATAACGTACACAGAAACTTTTTACAAAGAAATAGTATGTCTTTCTGAAGTATTCAGAAATAGAAGTTTATTTTTTTTAAAGCAAGAAATAGACAATGGTGACAAAGGATCTCCAGTGGGCTGTCAGGGAGGTGGTAGAGTTGGGGTCAGTTACTTAATAAAAATCTTGGTGTAACTTCCATTTTTCTCCTATATTTACTTTGTGCTTCTGTACTTAATTCTACCTCCTTGGCCCAGACCTACTTCCCACGATCTAAGACTCGCAATTTTGCCCTCTTTGGGGTTTTCCTATTCTCATTCCTTTTATTGACCACCTTCTCCTCCCGTTACTTCCCATTTTCACTCCTCGCATCTAGTCCTCTGGGTGTCTTAACTCTGCCTCATCATTTATTAGCTCTTTAGAGCTGATAGAGTAGAAGTTTGGAGTTAGATTCATATAAATTCTAGGCTTGTAATTTATTAACACTTTGACTTTGACTGACTTAATCTTTCTGAATCTTGGCTTTCTCATCTATAAACATGAGAATATTTAATACCTCCTTGGTTTCTAAGAACTAAGAATTAATATGTGTGGAAGTGGCAAATACTAGGTGCTTAGTAAATATTAATTACATTTCTTTTCCTGTACCAGTTGATGCCACTTATCAAGGTTGCAAAGAAAGGAGGCAAATAGAGTATTAGATTTATTTTTTATGTGTATAAAGATACGAAGATTAACTGGTAACATGAAGATTCTTCATGAATAAGCTTTAGTAATAAGTTAAAAGAGAAAAAGGTTATATTCTGAAAACTGAAGACAAATTAAACTTCCCTTGTGACAGACTACGGACTTACTGGTTGTAATAAACCTAGTCATATCTTACAGAGAAAAGAAAAGTTACTTACCTTTAGTAGGTGAATGAAGCAGGGCATTTTATTACAATATAAAATTCAGCTTATTTTCATTAAATAAAGGTGCACTTTTATTGTTGTTGTTTATGGTGGGGTTGTCAACATGAAATCCGGAAAGAACATTTGTTTCCCCAGGGTAGACACTGTATCTGCCAGTAGTAAATTCTTTTGGAATGAAAGAATATCTGTGCTCACTAACTGAATAGAAGGACATTTACTGAAAACTTTTCTTTGTTCCTTTTTAGGTGTTTGGCAGTCAACTTATTCCTCCCAATGCACAAGTGAAGAAGGCAACCGTCTTTCTCAATCCTGCCGCTTGCAAAGGGTAGTTCAGTTTGTGACTTGTTATAGATTTGGTTTTTCTAAGGGGAGAAGAGTCACAGAATACTAGGCAGCTGATTGGATTGTGTGGAATTGGAGCTACTAGGTTCAGTACCCTTGTAGCAATAAGATTCAATTGTAATGTAGAAATCACGGTTAATCAGATATAACTGTAAAGCTAACTGATGCCTAGCTAACTGGTCTAATTGAAGTTTAATAATTATTCCAGAATTAACACTCTCAAATCAGTCTTATCTGCTTGGTGGTAGCCCCCTTGGGAACAACTTCTGCTGCTGTGATGTAAATTATGAGTCCTTCTCTGTTACAGGATGTTCAGAGATTGCCGAAAGCACTGTGGCCTTGTGAGGTCAGAAACATTCTTTCCCAAAGTGGTGAATGTAGAGTTACGTCTTGGAGGTCAGTCAAGGGAGAACACTCAGTGTTCCCGACTGACGAAATGGCCCATGGGGCGGGGGCCTACAGACAGGAGTGCCGACTAATGTCCTTTGCTGTGTCACGGGAAAGTCTGTAAACTGGTCTGGTTGGCCTCGAGGGGTCATGTGAGGCAACTCTGAGAATTAAGATGTGAAGAATAGTTGGGACCTTGGTTGACAGTCATGTGTCCATGTTCATTTATTGTAACAAATGTACCACACTGGTGCAGGATATTGAAAGTGAGGGAGGTTTTTTGTGTGTGTGTGCGTGTGTGTGTGTGTGCATGTGTGTAGGGGAGCAGGGGGTATGTGAGAACTCTCTGTATTGTCCACTCATTTTTACTGTGAACCTAACAACTGCTCTAAAGAATAGTCTATTAATTTTTAAAAGTACCATAAGCAAAATAAAACCTTTTTTTTTTTTTTACATTGCTAGTTAGGTACAACTCTCATTCAGTTGGAAAGGTGAATAAGACTTTTGGTGGCTTATAGAAGAAATCATTTAAAATTTAAAATTATGTTTTAAAAATAGTAAGAATTAAAGGGTTGAGGGGGAGAAAAAAGTGATAACCTTTTATTCTATTTAACGGCCAGAACAATTCTTTTTGTCCTGACTGAGGAAAAATTAATAAGTATGTATTAGATTGGATTCTCTAAGTTCGAAGTCAAATGACATTAAGATAATAAGAACAACAGCAAAAAGCATAGTTGGGAGTAGCTTCTAAGTGGTGAGGTTAACATTGGAGAGAAACGCAGGGGCTCTGAAATAAGTTTCTCTAGTCATTTCTTGGGAGGTAGTGTGTGTGGCTTCACAGATGTGAGGGCTAGTCACGCCTTATTTCTTTTTAATTCAGCAGTTTAAGATATTTACCTACAGGTTGTCTAAATCGGCTCCATTACTCTACCTAATTGAATCATATTTGCCCACCTTCGTTGGAGCCACTTCCCGCCCCCATAAACATACCAGTCATAAGGCCTCTTGTTCATTCTTGTTTAAAACCAGCGCTGAACAAAAATATCAACAAAGGTTCTAACACAACACAATCAAAATACCCAAGATAACTAAATAGTCACTGGTGGCCTGTGGGAGAAGCTAGCAGGGAACTGGGTGTATCCTCTGTATACTCTTCTCTGCTCTGTGATACTGTCGGTGTTGCTTAACTTCTTAAATCCTCAATTTACTCATCTGTAAAGTGTGAAAGCTAATAGCACATGCCTTATAAAAATTACCATGTAATTCTTTAGGATTAAATGAGGTAATGCCTATAAGGTATTCAGCATTCTTTCCATTTCATAGTTAGCACCTGATAAAAGAAATATAAGCTGCTGTTCTTGGTGTTACTGACCTGTAGGCTGGGTCAGAAGGTTCTCTACTTGGCTCTCCCACCCTGGGATCTCTCCTTTTGCCTCCGTTGTTGTAACTGCTCCAGGTCCTGTTCCTCTAGAGATCTAGTAAGTTAGTAACTTGCTAATTCTCTTGAAATATATGGTAGTTTGTTTAAGCTATAATCAGTCATTTTGAGTTCCTACTTGAGATATTTGCATTTTTAAAAAATGAATAAACTTTTCTTTTAGAGAAGTTTTAGGTTCCGTTTACACTTTTACACGTAAGTGTATTTGCGTTTTTAAAGGTAGGTTCTTGTTGAAAAGTGTAATACCTTTACCTGCAGGCTAGGGTAAAGAAAGTGTTTCTTTTCTAAAGTCATGGTCCCCTTTAACAAGGTGAATCCCTGCAAGCTTCTAGGAAGCAGCCACTTTGAATCTCTCCAGCATCTTTTTTTAAAGCTTTCACTGTTTAACTGTACTATTTTTGTCATCTTGACTCTGACCTGACACATAATTTATAATTTATCATGTAGCTATTTCATTATGTAGTACTGGTTTAAAACTACATTAGAGCTTTAGGAAATAACTGTTTTGCATTAATAAATGATACATTAAGGAGTAATTATTTTGTGTGTGCGTGTGAACCTGCAAATTGCTAGAGGTATAGAAAGTTTTATTTAACTCTGGTGCTATCTCACCCTTAATTATGTAATAAATAATACATTTATTACTGGTAACACTTGCTTTTCAATCTTTTATATGGAATATTAGAAGGAAAAAAAATGCCTTCACTTCCACTTTAGAGATTTTCTGTACCTGTGGCATCACAAAGATGTGAATAAAGGCCCAAATGTTCAAATCTTTTTTCTTTCTTTCTTTTTTTTAATTGAAGTATAGTTGATTTACAGTCTTGTGTTAGTTTGAGGTGTACAGCAAAATGATTGTTGTATATACATACATATATTTTTTTCAGATCCTTTTCCATTGTAGGTTATTATAAGTTATTGAATATAGTTCCCTATGCTATACAGTAAATTCTTATTGTTTATTTTATATATAGTAGTGTGTATCTGTTAATCCCATACTCCTACTTTATCCCTTCCCCCTTTGGTAGCCATAACTGTTTTCTATGTCTGTGAGTCTGTTTCTATTTTTAACTAAATTCATTTGTATTATTTTTTAGATTCCACATATAAGTAATATCATATAATATTTGTCTTTCTCTTTCTGTCTTACTTCACTTAGTATGATAATCTCTAGGTCCATCCATATTGCTGCAAATGACAATATTTCATTCTTTTTATGGCTGAGTAATATTCCTTTATATATAATGTATATAATATATTCTACACACAGAAACACACACACACACACACACACACACACACACACACTTTATCCATTCATCTGTTGATGGACACTTAGGTTGCTTCCATGTCTTGGCTATTGTAAATAGTGCTGCTATGAACACTGGGGTGCATGTATCTTTTCGAATTAGAGTTTTCATATTTTCTGGATATGTGCCCAGGAGTGGGATTGCTGGATCATATGGTACTTCTAGTTTTAGTTTTTTAAGGAACCTCCATACTGTTCTCCATAGTGGCTGTACCAATTTACATTCCTACCAACAGTGTAGGAGGGTTCCTTTTTCTCCACACCCTCTCTAGCATTTATTCTTTGTAGACTTTTTGAGGATGGCCATTCTGACTGGTGTGAGGTGATACCTCATTTTACTTCTACAAATCTTATTTGTTTTTTTAAAATTAATTAATTAACTTATTATTTATGGCTGAGTTGGGTCTTCGTTGCTGCGTGTGGGATTTCTCTAGTTGCGGCAAGCGGGGGCTACTCTTCGTTTCAGTGCGTGGGCTTCTCATTGCAGTGGCTTCTCGTGTTGTGGAGCACGGGCTTTAGGCGTGCGGGCTTCAGTAGTTGTGGCTTGCGGGCTCTAGAGCACAGGCTCAGTAGTTGTGGCGCACGGGCTTAGTTGCTCCGCGGCATGTGGGATCTTCCCAGACCAGGGCTCGAACCCGTGTCCCCTACATTGGCAGGCGGATTCTTAACCACTGCGCCACCAGGGAAGCCCAAATCTTATTTCTTAAACTAACTCAGAGGAGCTTATAGATGTGTTGTAAGTGACTAATACAGCCGATTGAGACTTCTCCAGAGTTTTGCTTCTCAGAGATAGATCTAATCCACTTCCACCTGACCCTTTCTTATCAACCTAGAAATGAAAGCAACCCTGCAAGGAGAAATGTTTACAGTATCACTAGCTCGCCTTTTATTGTTGGGTTAAGCCCCAGAAATGGTGATCTGGAAAGGAGAAATTTCCGTTTAGCCTTTCATGTTCACTCTTACAAGCATTCAGAGCTGTAGAAGAGGGAGGATATGTTTGTTTAATTTGCTTATTAAGTGCTCAGGTGTGCCCTTGGTTCAAGGTATTTTTTTGGTTCTTGTAAAAATTTGCTCAAGCTTCTCAGTTTCTATTTTAATTCATAATCAGAAATCTTTTATGTTCTGTGTTCCATTTGATAGCTATTTCTTTTTAGTTTAAAGAATGTTGAAGTTGGTTTGTGCATAACTCTACATGTTCCTCATTCACTACCTTTGTGTCTGTTTCTAGTATAAAATATTCTTAAGAAAGTTGAAGCATGCATCACTGATAAAAAATAATAACCTTTTTGAAAGAGGACTGAGTAAATGTGGATGTAAAAGTTAGATGTTTGGTGTTGATTGTTTTGAAAGTACTAGTTTTTGTTTTTGTCTTGTGATGTGATAGTTGAAAATATTTGGGTAAAAGACAAGTCAGCTGATCGGCATGTTTTAACGTTTATTCAACTCTGAGACTCTGCAATTGGGGACTTTTTTGCAGCTTCTGTATCCCTTGATTTCTAGTACATTCTCAGTCAACCACTGGAATGTAAGTAAGTTCCATGAGGGCTTATTACATTATACCTCAGTTACAAGTATTTTTGTCTGCCTTGTCCTGTTGTTTGCCCAGTTCCTAGATGTGTCTAGCACACAGTAGAGGCTCAGTAAATGCTTGTTGAGTGAATCAGACATTGTTGCCTGAGTGGAGCCATATCCAGTGCACACACTTCCTCTAGAGGAACTAGATTGTGCATTCTAAGCGTGCCACATGGGTAAGAGCTTACTGTATTAGACAAGGGGCAAAATCTTGGAGGCCCCAGAGTGAAAGAGTCCACGTTTATATCCAGAGAAACTCATTACTCTTCACTAGCCTTCCTGTCCTTGAACAAATAGAGGAAACGTGTTCTCTACGCTATTTCTTGTTCTCTTCTAGAGAAGGTGGTTGGGCTTTTTATATTTCCTGTTGAGAACTCACGTTAAAATATTTGTGTTTTCTTCCTTTGTCTACAGCAAAGCCAGGACTCTATTTGAAAAAAATGCTGCCCCGATTTTACACTTATCTGGCATGGATGTGACTATCGTTAAGGTGAGAACTGCTCTAGAATGTTGATTTTATCCAAGCTACCCCTCCTTATAACATATCCTCTTCTCTTGACTTCTTAGCAGAAATCACTTATCACTTAGAAGATAAGAACAGAGAAGTCAAAGTTGTGTTCTTCTTCTGATAATTAATAAGATAATATTGTTTTTTCCAACCACGGTCAGCTTTTCACTTTCAGAACAGGATTGAATGGAGCCATGAACTTGGCTCCTTCCATCTGACAGATAGGACGTGGAACTATTGTCTCTTGGAAGGTGAAAGTTGTTACAGCTGTAAGAATTCTTTTTCTGACTATTAAAAAGAAATTTCAAGTTTGAGTAATTAATTTAATTTCTTCGTAGTTCCGCAGACAGGTAAACATTTTCTTTCTGGTGACGAATTATTTCAGGTGAGGAATTTTAAGTGGTAAACCTTTAGAATTTTCGAGATTTGGGTAAGAAGAAGTGGGGACAAAAATAAATGAGAGGGAATTGTGCTATTTCAGAAGATGCCTCAAGACTCCACTTTCTTGACTTTAAGTGCTGTGTGTGTGGTATGTACATAGGTGTGTGTATTTGGTGAAAATCACTGTTACCATGTTTGTAAATCTATGTTATACCAATTTTTAATATTACACACTTTCATTAAATCATAGAGATTGAACGGTCGTTTAGTCCAGTTGACCATGCAATGTTGATGTTGAACTCTCCTCTCCAGCTTGTCCGAGGTGTGGTCTTCTGGTTGTCTGCCTCCAGGGATGGGAGAGTGGGGAAGAAAACTGACATTTATTTCAGGACCTGTAATGCATATTGCAGACTCTACGTATGAGAGATCTGAGAATGGTTATTTAAGACCGATATTTGTTTGTTCCTGGAGTGTTTGGTTGAACTCACAAGGAGAACCATCTGGGCCTGGAGCTTTCTTTGAAGGGAAATTTTTTTGTATATTAACTTTCTTTAATGGCTGTAGAAGTACATCAGGAAGTTCTGTTTCTTCTTGAATTAATTTTAGTAAGGTAAATTTTTTAAAGGAATTTGTGAATTTCATCTAAGTTTTCAAATTAATAGGCATCAAGTTGTTCATAATATCTTCTTTTTAACTTTTAAATTTCTGTGACATCTGAAATACATCATTTTCTTGCTCAGTATTGTTTTATTGTTTATTTGTGCTTTTTTTTTTTTTTTTTTTGCCTGCCAGTCATGTGAGAGGTGCGTCAATTTAATTAATCCTTTTTGCCGAGAACCATTTCTTGGCTTGTTGATCCTTTCATTTATGTTTCTTTCATTAACTTCTGGTCTGTCTTTATTGTTTCCTTCATTCTACTTTCTTTGGCATTTTTTTTTTGCTGTTCTTTTTGACATTTTAACTTGGATGCTTATTTCATTAATTTTCACCCTTCTCTCCTGGTGTTTTCTTAGAAAGCTATAAACTTTACTGCTTCAGCTGCGTCCTAGGAGTTTTGATATGTAATATTTTCATTATTATTCATTTCTAAATGTTTTCTAATTTTCATCATGATTTTTGTTTGACCTATGAGTTATTTAGCATGTTTTAAAATTTTCAAATCTAAAGTTTTCCTACATCTTTTTGTTAATGGTTTCTGATTTAATTGTGTTATGGTCAAAGAATGTAGTCTATATAATTCCAGTATTTTAAGTTTATTGAGATTTGTTTTATGGCCTAGCATGTGGTTTGTTTTCATAAATGTTTTATGTAGGCCTAAAAAGAATATATATCAGTTATTGGGTACCATGTTCTATATATGTCCATTCAGTCAAGTCTGTTAGTTGTGTGGCTCAAATCTTACACGTCCTTACTGATTTTTTTCTTCTGTTTGAACTATAGATTATTCAGAAAGAGGTGTTAGAAATATCGCACTAGATAGATTTGTCTGTTTCTCGATGTAGTTTTATCCACTTTTGCTTTTTTATATTTTGAGACTGTCAGTAGATGCATTCACATTTCAAATTCTTTCATTTTTCTTGCATGTTGACACTGTCATAGATACTCTCTTTAGCACTAATGCTGTCTTTTACTGTGGTCTATTTTATTTAGTATTGTTAGTAGCCATACTAGCTTGCTTTGATTAGTTTTTACCTGGTATAATTTTTACTTATCTTTACTTAAGCCATTTTGTATCCTTATATTTTAATGCATCATTGGTAAAGGCATGAAAACAGGATCTTTTAAAGTCCCAAGGCTTTTTGTGTGTGTGCCTTTTGACTGGACCATATAATCGATTAACATTTATTGTAATTGTTAATGTATTTAGATTTATTTCTATACCAGTTATCTATTGCTACATAACAAACCACCTTGACAACAGTTTTTCTGCTTACAATCCTGTTGGTCAACAATCCGTGTTCAGAGCTGTTCTTGTGTTGGTCTCGCCTGGGCTCCTCAGTGGCTTGTCTTTTCATGACTTGATAGCTTATTTATTTCCTTTTCTCACTGAATAATATTCCATCATGTAGATGTACAACAGTGTGTTTATCCATTTACCTATTGAAGGACATCTTGATTGCTTCCAGTTTTGCAGTTATGAATAAAGCTGCCGTAAACATTTGTGCGCATGTTTTTGTGTGGACATAATTTTTCAGCTCATTTGGGTAAATACCTAGGAGTTCACTGGCTGTATTACATGGCATGCTTAGCTTTGTAAGAAACTGGCAGACTGCTTTCCACAAGTGGCTGTACCGTTTTGCATTCCCACTAGCAATTAAGGAGATTTTCTGTTGCTCCACATCCTCATCAGTATTTGGTGTTCTCAGTGTTCGGGGTTATAGCTGTTCTGATAGGTATACAGTAGTTTCTCATTGTCTCAATTTGCAGTTCCCTAATGACATAACATTGAGCATTTTTTCACTGGTTTATTTTCCATCTGTATATCTTCTTCAGCGAGGTGTCTGTTCAAATCTTTGCTATTTTAATTGAGTTGTTTCTTGTTTGTTCTCTTATTGTTGAGTTTTAGAGTTCTTTGAACACAAGTTCTTTATCAGATATGTGTTTCAAAAATATTTTCTCTTATACTGTCTTTTAAAGCTGTGTTTTCATTCTCTTAACCGTATTTTCACGGAGCAGAAGTTTTTAATTTTAAGGAAGTCCAACTTATCAGTTTTTTTCTTTTGTGGCTCTTGCTTTTGGTGATTTATCTAAAAACTCATCAACAAACCCAGGATCACCTACATCCTCTACTGTGTGATTTTCTAGAAGCTTTATAGTTTTTTATTTGACATTTAGGTCTATGATCCATTTTGAGTTAATTTTTGTGAAAGGTATAAGGTTCTCGTTTTCTGCATCGGCCACTCTTTATCCTTTCTCTTTGTTGCACTTGGAATTTTCCTCTTAAGATCAGAGCCTCAAATGTGTCATCCCTATTAATGTAATCTTTTAAATTATGGTCTGTTAAATCTGTCAATATCTTTTTGAATTTTGGTTCTTTCATTCATGTACTTATTCATATTTATCAATTTGTCTTGCAAATATTTGAGTACCTACTACAAAGTAAGCTCTGTTCTACCTGTTGAGGATACAGTCTGAACTAAACAAGTTCTCCCTCTCTGTCCTCAAAGAGCTTCCACTCAAAGTGTGAAAAGGAGGGATGCAGATAAAACACATATACAAATAAACATATGATTTGTCAGATGGTGATGAGAGCCAAGAAGAAAAATCAAGCAGGGTAAGGAGACCAAGAGTAATGGCGGTGTTAGTTTAGTTCAGGAGGCCAAGGAAGGCCAGTCTGGTAAGATGACCTTTGGAAGAGACGTGGGGGAAATGAGTGAGTCATGCTGGTAGGTTGGGGAAAGCTTCCGGGCCGAACGTACTGCACGTTCGGAGGCTCTGTGGAGGAGTGTACTTGGGGCTTGAGGAAGAGTGAGAGGCAAATGTAGTTGGAGGAGAATGAGCAAGGGGAGGCAGGAGAGAGGATGAGGTTGAAGAAGTCAGGAGGGGCAAGATTGTCAGGTTTGTATCATTTACGCATTCAGTCAATTACCTTTCCTCTCTGTTGTTGATAAAGTGTTGTGTAGGAAAAGGCTGAATGGAGAGCCCTAAAGAAATGTCACCAGGAATCTACCTAAAATTTGATGTCCCTCCACTGAGCATCTTGCTTTGAACGTAGACATTCAATTGGTAATCAGTTCACCCAGTTGTATTCTAGTGTATTGTTCCCACCTATCTCCGCCTTGTCCCCAAGGATGTTATCAAATAACTTGCCAGGTGCCTTGCTGAAGACCCAATAGAATGTCTGTCTGGATTTCCTGATCTTCTGATCTAGTAATCTGTCAAAGATGAGGATACTCTGAAATGCCTTGTTCTCGGTGAACCCATGCAGATTCCCAGTGATCACCTATTTCGGGGTGTTCACAAAGCATCCTTTTAATCAGGATCAAAATATATTCTCTCTTTTTAAAAAAATATTTATTTATTTTTGGCTGCGTTGGGTCTTCATTGCTGTGTGCGGGCTTTCTCTAGTTGAGGCGAGTGGGGGCTACTCTTCGTTGCGGTGCACGGGCTTCTCTTGCTGCGGAGCACGGACTCTAGGCGTGCAGGCTTCAGTAGTTGTGGCATGTGGGCTCAGTAGTTGTGGCGCACGGGCTTAGATGCTCCGCGGCCTGTGGGATCTTCCTGGACCAGGGCTCGAACCCGTGTCCCCCGCATTGGCAGGCAGATTCCTAACCACTGTGCCACCAGGGAAGTCCCTATATTCTTTTTTAAAAAAGTGAAATATTTGGATTGAGTGAGCTCAGTCACCAGAGGACAGTGATTTAATCAACCATGGGTATGTAATGAAACCGACACAAAAACTCAGAAGGACAGGGTTTGGAGAGCTTCTGGGCTGATAAACCTGTGGAGATCTGAGGAGAGGTGGTACGCCCAGAGAGGGCCTGGAGACTCCACACCGCTCCCCACACATCTTGCCCCATGTACCTCTTCATTTGTCTGTTCATCTGAATCCTTTCTAATAAACTGATAACTGTGAGACAAAAAAAAAAAGAAATATTTACAAATGTATAACTGCAAAGCCAGTCATTTCATTTTTCAGGATAAAAGTAGAACCATTCATCATAAGATTAGATGGTGTTAGTGTAGGACTTTGTTTTTCGTGTGTTGACTGTGACTTAGTGGCCCAGGTGCTTTAGCCCATCTGACATCCAAATCTTTAATTTTTGCCTATTAGTGGGTCTAGTAAAGTGTCAACAGGAGAGAGTGTTTCCTTATTTCAGTATTAGTTGCATTACATTTGTTAAAATTCAGTGTTTGGTTTTAGAGGTGGTGGCTTAGATCATTCATTTAAGTCTACGTATGTATCTGAAATGAGGTATCCTCAATACAAATGGTGAGGCTTACATACCATTTAGTCACCATTTTGTGACTGCTTTGAGCCATACCTATATTTCTTTATGTACAATCATAGCAAAACCACAGTAACCGTTTATGTAGTACAGTGCCAGTTAAGAACAGTTACCTTGCTAGTCGTTTTTCATACTGCTTTCCAACAGTATTAGGAAGAAGCGCTTTTCCCTTCCTCCAGTACACGTGATTTCATTGATAAGGAAATTAAGATTCTGAGAGTTTAAGGCCACTCAGCTAAAAAGTAGCAGAGTTGGGATTTAATCTGGGTCTCCTGGGCTCTCAAATCTGTGCTCTTTTTATTACATCTGTTTCTCCTTATTTGCACATACACTTGACTTTCTGCTTGCAAATGAAAGTCACTGGGTAAATGATGTAATAATAGAACCTGCACTGGACTAGAAATGATTCCTCTGACTAGCTGACTGTATAACCGAGACAAATCACTAGGTTTGAGTTTTATTTTTAAAGTAAGGAGCCGCCTAGATGGTTTCTGAGGTCCCTTCCAGCTCTAAAAATATAAAACTATAAAAACCATACATAGTTGCTTTGATAGCTGTTTAGTTTCTCATGTATATCAATTATGTAGAATTTAAGAAAAGGTTCAGTGTAAAACTTTAAAGAAAATATCCCATATTTTTAGACCTTTGGGCCTGTGGCTCTAGGATGATAAATTTACCAAAGGCTTCCTTTGTATTGCAGACAGATTATGAGGGCCAAGCCAAGAAGCTCCTGGAACTGCTGGAAAACACAGATGTGATCATTGTTGCTGGAGGAGATGGGACTTTGCAGGAGGTGTGGCCGCTCTTCTGTTTGAAACCATTTTGAAAGGGAGGAAAATAGAAATTAGGTCTTGGAGCAGTGGCGTAAAGTGGTTATAATTCAAGGAAATTATTTCTTTGTAATCCATTCTTTTTAGGATTGTTTCTCTCTGAAACAAGTATAGCATTACATTTTTCTCATGCACTTTTATTTCATTGCTTCGTATAAATTCTATACCCAGCACATGGAAGGGTTTTTGTTTTATCAGATTTAAGTCGGATAAAATGGAATAAAACAGGGTACAAAATGGTGCTGGGTGTGAAACGCTTTTTATATTTTGAAGACTCTTATGAAGTAGCCCTGTTTGTTAGGGAATCACTGTTTCAATTATGGGAAGGTTTCTTATAAAATAAACTTAAATAACAATTGCCTTTTAAAAAAATGCATCTGTCCATTCTCACATCATTTCCATCCCATGTAATGTTATCTCCTAATGGTACATTTAGAGGCAGAGGTCTACATGTTCTGATGTATGCGTTGCTTTTGTTCTGCAATTCCATTTCCTTAATGCTTGCTTTGGTCCAATAAGGACAGTAAGTATATTGCCCTGGAAATGCTCTTCTTTTCCAGGGCAATAGACTAGAACCTACATTATGTATTGGAAACCCCTAAAGGGCCCAGTGCAGGTGCCCCTCCCGCTCAGTCACCCCATCCTGTGTACCATAAGTCACATCCATACCTCGTTTCTCATTGTCTTTTGCCTCTATTTTGGTGGTTTCATTGGTGTTCAGGGACCAGGAGCTATAATAGCGGACAGGGCACTGTCCTGTGTTTGAGTTAGCAATCATGTAAGCCTTAGTAAGCTTCTTTTAAAAAGACTGTGCTAATGATCTTGTAATTGTGTTTATGGATTTTTAATGAAGTGTGAAGAATACGGATAGCATACCAACAAAGTAATGAAGTGGAACTCACGACAGCTCCATTTAATCCCGAAACTCAGTGAGGCGGGAGATGCGGGAGAAGATTGGCTTTTGCCTTGACTTCACAAAATGTTTTTAAGAAAGAAACCAAATTGTGTATCTGGTATAATCTAGTCATCAAAATATGCCCTGGTTAAAAAAAAGAATTGGAGGGAAATATAGCAAAATATAAACAACTGACTAATGATGCCTGGTGGGTTTATGAGAAAGTATTTTTTCTTCAGGTATTTTCCACAGTTTTTACAAGACCATGTGTATTATAGTTTAAAAGTAAAAAATAAATTAAGTAAAAATTCAAATTAAAAATTCTTTTTATAGAGGGAATACAGTCTCCCTTGTCTTCATATTCATCAGTAAGAAACATTTATTGAGAGCAGGCTTCTCTCTGAGTGTAGCAAAGTGCTGTTTTTTTCCCGATATGTGTACTTCATAGTAGGAAACTAGGATCTTTAGTATAATTGATGTGTACATCACATTTATACCCATCTTATAGAACTTAAAACGTAATTTTACTAATATAATGTGGAAGTTTTATAATTATTTTATCTTAGCCTTTATAGTACTATTGATCCTAGGTGGAGAATAAAATCTAATCTAGCTCTGATCTTATTGGAGAATAGTTTGTGCTTTAAGAGCCAATACATCTTTTGACATAGTTTCTAGGAAGAAAACAGGAACAAGTTTGTGGTCCATGAAAATTGAATCCAATTCTTTTATGATAAAGGAAATACAAGTTGTTCATAATAATTTTTTTAAAACATTTGTAGGTTATAACTGGAGTTCTTCGAAGAGCAGATGAGGTGAGCTTTAAAATAAGAATAATTGCATTTTGACTTTTACTTTCCTGTTTTAATCTCTCTTTATTTCTTTCTTTTACCCTTTCTCCCCTTTTTATATTTTAAGATGGGCACAAGTTGTGCTTCCTCGGATTTTAGAAAATAAAGTACTTCTGCCTATGTCATAGAACACTTTTATTAACTCATGGTGGACTTTTCTGCTTTGGGGATCCAGGGTATCCAATGGCTTTTACCAAGAGTTGTTTAAAATATAAAATTTCCCTATAGAATCTTTTCTTCAAAGGATTCCTTCATTAATAAATTGTGGTATATTCATATATTAGAAGCCATACAACAGTTAAAATGAATGAACTAGGTTTATAAATATCTACGTGGTAAATCTAAAAAATATTCAATAAAGGCAGGTTGCCAAAGTATTTTATGCATTTCTACAAAGTTTTAAAATTCAGAAAACAAAGATACTCTTAACAGATGCCTAAACTATGTAGTAAAAGGATAACAATGTGAATGGAAAGGAATCACACCCACCTCACGATGAAGGCTTCCTCTGGGAGGGGAAAGGGGAGTAGGATGAGAAGGGACTTGAGTTGTATCTGCATCACTTTATTTCTTAAAACTCTGAAGCAAATATGGCAAAATGTAATATTTGTTAAATCTGGGTCTTGGGTACATGGGTATTCGTGAGATTACTTTAAATTATTGTAGAAAAGTGTGATAAAATATTTTATAAGTAATAACAAGAAAGAAGATCCTTCCCAGTCCCTTTGGTAATAGTAGACTGAGCTCAAAATAATCTTTAGGAACCTTACGGTATCTGTTTATTTGTGGCCTTTAATTAAGTCCTCTACTGTGCCATTCTTCTGCTACTTGACCTTGCTTATTCTCTTAGCCTTGTTTATACTTGAGGTAGTTTATAAAGCCCTTTCACCTGTCCTCAGTCACTGTACAAATGTTAGACATTTTTAGTTGAATCCTATCTGCAACTTTGTCAAATAGTGTGGCAACATAATACAGTCTGTCACAATCATGCATTTATCTAATATCTAAGACCCTCATTTTCTTAACCAAATTTCTTTCAACCAGCTGCCATTAGCACCCAAATATTCCTTCCAAATGTGAAGGTATGTTGTTTTCATGAACTGCCTTGTTCTAGAACCTGCTTCCTCAGTATTACCTGGTTGCTGGTCTAGGGGTGTGGGAAGGAAGGCTGGGAGGCAGGCCCAGGGTCAGTTACTTTGTCATAGTGGACACACCTGTGCCTCTCTGTTCAACCTCATTTTCTGACCATAACAATAAAACTTTGCTCTTGTTTTCTTCCTCGCCAGGCTACCTTCAGTAAGATTCCCATTGGATTTATCCCACTGGGCCAGACCAGTAGTTTGAGTCAGACACTCTTTGCCGAAAGTGGAAACAAAGTCCAGTAGGTTGTCAATGTGGGATGGTAGCATTTGTGGGTAAGCGAGCCTGGGAATGGAAAATTCACACGTGTGATATAATTTTCTTTTTGAGTTTTGATAGCCTGAAACTTCAGATCATTAAGAGGAAGAGATCAGAGTTCAAGCGTTGGGTTGATTGGGAAGTTTCTCTGTTGGGTTGTGGGACCCTGGTGATCTAATGTTAAGTCCTCAGGGCAGGTATGGAGACGAATACTGATGTCCTTCTGACACTTATGAAGGTAGCTTCGCTGGTCCAAGCATACTGTTTGTGTGCTTTTGTGTTGTAAGATCCTCTGCTGAAGACATATTCGCAGTGATCATTTGTTTGCTTTAAGTATGTATGATGACAAATAGCAAGTTCCCTGCGGAGACTGGGCCAGCAGCAGCCTTGGCTCCATTACCTTGATAATATAAGTAGCTAAAACAACCAAATATAGTTACGTCCTTTAGGGAATGCCAAAAGTGGAAGGCAGTGTGGATAAAGTAGACAGGGGAAGTAGTGCAACCCTGACATGAAATTAAATTGTTGTGGGTCTAACAGTGTCCTCAGGAGTCAGGCAAGTTGCTATTATTGCTCTTTTCTTTCAAAAGCATTATGTAAACAAAGATTTAGTCTTTCAGGAAGATGGGAATCTTGAATTTGAGTCATGGCTTTGACAATGCTTAAAAATATAATCTTGGACAAATCATTTTCAGGCAGGTTCTCATTGTCAGTTGCCTGATCTTTAATGTAAGCTCTGCGATACATTGGGGGAAGTCAATAAAAAATATTTGTGAATGAATGAATTGAAATCTTCTCAAGACATTTCTTGTTATAACCTTCTAGAATCAATAACAATAATAATACTCAGGTGATTTTCTGTTTTGGATTTTTTTTTCTGCTTTGGGATTTTTATTTTAGATTGAGGTATAGTTGACATAAAACATATTAGTTTCAGGTGTATAACACGATGATTTGATATTTATATGCCACCACAATAAGTATAGTTAACATCTGTCACCATTCAATAGTTACAGAATTGTTTTTCCTTGTGATGAGAACTTTTAAGATATACTCTCTTAAAAACTTTCGGACATGTAATGCAGTATTATTAACGTTAGTTGCCATGCTATACGTTCCATCCCCATGACTGACTTATTCTTTTAAATAAATTTATTTATTTATTTATTTATTTTTAGCTGTGTTGGGTCTTTGTTTCGATGACTGACTTATTTTATAACTTGACTCCCTTCGCCCTTTTTACCAACCTCCCACCCCCCACCTCTGACAACCACCAATCTGTTCTCTGTATCATCTATGAACTTGATTTTTTAAAATTTTAATTTAATTTATTTTTTGGCTGCATTGGGTCTTCGTTGCTGCATGCAGGCTTTCTCTAGTTGCTGCGACGGGGGGGCTACTTTTCCTCGCGGTGCACGGGCTTCTCGTTACAGTGGCTTTTTGTTGTGGAGCACAGGCTCTAGCGCACAGGCTTCAGTATTTGTGGCGTGTGGGCTTCAGTAGTTGTGGCTCGGGAGCTCTAGAGTGCAGGCTTCAGTAGTTGTGGCGCACTGGCTTCAGTAGTTGTGGCTCGCAGGCTCTAGAGCGCAGGCTCAGCAGTTGTGGCGCACGGGCTTAGTCGCTCCGTGGCATATGGGATCTTCTCGGACCAGGGCTCGAACCCGTGTCCCCTGCATTGGCAGGTGGATTCTCAACCACTGCGCCACAAGGGAAGTCCCTTGTTTTGTTTTGTTTTTTTAAAGATGCCACCACATATAAGATATCATACAGTATTTGTCTTTCTCTGTCTGACTTAACTTCACTTAGTATAATACCCTCCAAGTCCATCAGTGTTGTTGCAGATGGCAAAATTTCATTCTTTTTTATTGCTGAATAGTATTCCAGTGTATGTGTGTGTGCACACAAATGTGTATATATATATATATATATATATATGTATCTCACATATATATCACATCTTCTTTATTCATTCACCTGTCAACGGACACTTAGCTTGTTTCCATATCTTAGCTACTGTAAATAATGCTGAACAACAAACATGAGTGCATATATCTTTTGAGTTAGTGTTTTCGCTTTCTTTGGATAAATACCCAGAAGTGGAATTGCTGGATCATATGGTAGTTCCATTTTTAATTCTTTGAGGAACCTCCATACTGTTTTCCATAGTGGCTGCACCAATTTACATTCCCAGCAACAGTGCAGGAGGGTTCCCTTTTCTCCACATCCTCTACAATACTTGTTATTTCTTATCTTTTTGATAATAGCCATTCTAACAGGTGTGAGGTGATGTCTCATTGTGTTTGGATTTGCATTTCCATGGTTGTTAATGATGCTGGGCATCTTTTCATGTACCTGTTGGACATCTGTATGTCTTCTCTGGAAAAATGTCGATTCCAATTATCTACCCAGTTTTCAAGTGGATTTTTTTTTCTGTTGAATTGTGTGAGATCTTTATGTATTTTGTATATTAACCACTTACCAGATATATGACTTGCAGATATTTTCTCCCATTCAATAGGTTTTGCCTTTTCATTTTATTGATGGTTTTCTTTGCTGCACAGAAGGTTTTTAGTATCATGTAGCCCCACTTACTTATTTTTACCTTTATTGCTTTTGCTTTTGGTGTTAGATTCAAAAATCATTGCCGGGCTTCCCTGGTGGCGCAGTGGTTGAGAGTCCTTCTGCTGATGCGGGGGACACGGGTTCGTGCCCCGGTCTGGGAGGATCCCACATGCCGAGGAGCAGCTGGGCCCGTGAGCCATGGCTGCTGGGCCTGCGCGTCCGGAGGCCGCAGCAGTGAGAGGCCCGCATACCGCAAAAAAAAAAAAAAAAAAAAAAAAAAATCATTGCCAAGTCTTATGTCAAGAAGCTTACCCTCTATGTTTTCCTCTAGAAGTTTTATGGTTTCAGGTCTTATTACATTCAATTCTTTAATCCATTTTGAGCTAATCTTTGTGTATGGTGTAAGCTAATGGTCTAGTTTCATTCTTTTGCATGTGGCTGTCCAGGTCTGCTTTGGGATTTTGAATAGGCTGGTTTTGTGGATTTGTTTTTGCTGTTGTAGTTTTAGGAGTCATCTTTTATCTTTTAACTTTTTTTTTTTTTAGATAAAAACCTTGCTCCATATATCAAACACCAGGCATAAGCGTAGACATATAGCAGACCTTTATTAAAACGTCTCTCATGCTTCAAGCCTTAGTCTGATGGGGAGGGTCAGCTCTTTACCAATCATCCTGCAGCCTAATGTGGCATTTCAGTTTGCCATATTTTTTTCCCAGTTTAGAATTTCTAAGGGGCTATAAATATGACAAACAATGAATTAAACATTTTTTCTTATCTGAGACAAATCCTATCTGGTTTGGGTCTTGGTTACTTTAGATAGCTAGTCTTTCCCCCTGTCAGTATAGATTATTAGAACTGCTTGCCAGCATTACCAGATATGCCAGTGATGCGGAGGTAGGACATGTCCCTTAGAGAACACCTCACCTATCCAAAAGCCAGTGTCTGTGCAGTGTGGCTGCCCTCAAGGTCTTAAATAGCCTTCAGTTTTTTAGGAGCTGATTTTCCCTGTAGTTAAACTAATGTTGTTGCTGCTTCTATTTATAATTTAAAGATTTATAAAACTTAATTTATAAGCATGCCCCAGGGCTCTTAGATAATTAAGTCAGTCTGCCCTGGGTTCATAATTTTGTAGACCTCTTAACATGGCAGATGCCTGAGGCTACTTAAAAGAACAAGGCTTTGCTTTTTGCATTGCTGTCGAGATTTGTTGTACCATAATTACTACAGAAGAAAAAGGAATTTTGAATTTGGAATGTTGCAGATAAATAATCCTAAAAAATAGCTGTTTCGTGCTACAGTGCTGCTTTATTTAGAACTTTCAATTATTGCTGGAGAATGATAAATTTAAGGTTGCATTTTAACCATCTTCTGCCAAGGAATTTTGAAAAAAAATTAATAGAAAAAGGCATTTTTCAGTTGGAACATTTTTTAAAGGTCACCCTCTCAAAAGCACTTCTTAAACCTCTTAATGTGCTAGGTACTGCTCAGAGCGAGCACAAAGCTTTAGGATTCTTTCTAATAACTTCCTTTGAAATTAATGTATTCATATCAAATTAATCTAAACTGGTGATCATGTGTTTTGCTTTCTCCCAAATTGAATCTCATTTTCTAAACTGCTACCTACTTCCCAGATAGCAACTGTATTGGAGGGAAAATGGGATAAAGATATGTTGATAGAGAAATATGAGAAAGTAAAGTAGGCTGTGTCTTAAGTTTCAACTTGCTTCCTAGGGAACCCAGAATGTAATCCAAGCATTGGAGTTAATGTGTATATTTTGGGGATTTATTATATTTTGCTAATATAACTCCAGCAAATCCTGTCCTTTAGCTATCCTTCAGATTATTAGAGTAAAAAGGAATATGGTTTTTGAAGTGCTTGACTTTCATTCTCTTACAGTGAATGAAAGATGTATTATTATTTATTTATCATATTTTCCAGTGATAAAAGTCAGACACCATGTAGAGACTCAATAAATGTGAGGTAAATAAATGATTGGTGCCTTGTATAAACTTCTCTTTGCCAAAGCCTTCTCTTTGAGCCTGTATCAGAGCCTTCCACTAGATTTGTATCAGTAATTCTTTTATACACCTTTGTTCTGCTTTCTTGGAGTATTTTGAAAGAATTTGTCTTTTTCTTGACCCAGCTATTAGTACTCTGAGTAGGAGTGTGGTTGTGTGTGTGTGTGTTGGGGGAGATGTTGCTTATTTTTCACAACATGATCATTTCCTTCTTGTTATCTTTTAGACATATTACAGATGCTACACTTGCCATTGTGAAAGGAGAGACAGTTCCACTTGATGTCTTGCAGATCAAGGTAAGATCTTTTCATCAGAGTTTGAAAAAATTAACAAAGTAATACACACTTAAAAAAAAATGTAGTAGTTCAAATAAGATTGTAAAGAAAACAACTGTTCTTCTTCTTACCCTTTCCTATGTGAAGTATAACCCCCCAGAGAAGATAATTTTACCTGTTTGTTCTAGTTATCACTAATTAGTATGCTCGTGATGCTACTTTTAAAAATTGTGGTTAAAAAAAAAAAAAAAACAACCCCACAAAACATGAAATTTACGATCAGAACCATTTTTAGGTGTATAATTCAGTTTAAGTATATAATACTACTTTTTGGTTTATCAGTTTTAGACCTTATCTCTTGGCCTCTTATCAGAAGTCCTCTGTATCACCTCTCAGTATAGTGGTATCATGATTTTTAGTTCCTCTGATTACCTTTGGCCCACAAGTAATTTTTCTGTTTTATATGGTTGTTTTGAGTATTAAAAGAGCTAATAAATATAACGCACTTAGGACAGCACCCGATTTCATCTCACCTGTTTGTATGGTGGCCACCTCTCTATCTCATGCTCTGCCAAAGGCGAAACCTTTCTCGTGACCCATCTGTCTTTTGGAGGGCCTTCTCTTTGGAATTCAGGTTACTTGGTTGTCTTGCATTGTCAGCTCTCTATTGGGCTTAAGAATAATTATGATTCTGTAGATTATCAGGCTTTTTCTCATTTTTAGGGTGGGAACAATGTTCTTTGTTGCTTCCTACATCCTAGAGAGGAGCAGAACTTCCCATTTTTCTATTGGGTTGTCTAACATTTTCTTACTGATTTGTAGATGAGCTCATGAATTACTCTAGAAAGACATTTGCTCTCTTTGCCCACTGAAGGGGCCTAAAGGCAGTGACACCCAACAACAACGAGCATATCTGGCATCCAGATTTTGGTTTCTAAGTACCATTCCCTAATAAAACTTAACAGGATTCTGTGAAAAGATGTCTTTCAGAGGCAGGGCAAGAATAAGGGCAAAGAACTACTCAAAAACTGATGAAGACAACGCAAAATAGGAGGCAGCCTGATGGTACCCTATTGGCCAATTTTGGGCTGGTTTGAACATCAAAAAGAATAATGCTAGTGGATTATAATACATTAAATAAAAATGATGAATCTATAGTTATGTTACAGAAGAATTGCCAAATTGTAAATGTATAAGATACAACAGAGTTAGAGAATTACCATTGGGCAATCACTAATGAAATCACTAATTCAAACAGGGGTCATCAATGGATGCTACACACATTGGATAAAAGGTCGTTGAGAAACAAATATCCACACAGTCTCAAATGATCGCAAGTTACTTAATAATTACAAAGGGAAAAAGTGCCTTTATAGTAGAGAGATCTAGCATATACCACCTTAACCAGGTGATCAAACAGCATCACCAATCATGGGACAGATGGACATTATCTGCCTCCGGATGTGATACATTGAGAAGGGTACAACATCACCTACGTGGTTTTCTGCCCAAAACATTAGTCTTAATCTAACTGACTCTAATAATGAGAAAACAATCAAATCCAAATTGTAGGACATTCTAAAAACAGCCATTGATTTGGCTTCTTCAAAAATGTCAGTGTCATGAAATCTAAAAGAAGATAGTCTGTTCAAGATTAAGGGAAGCTAAAGAAATATCATAATGAAGTCCAGTACGAGATCCTGGACTGGAAAAATGAAAAACAGTGTCAGCCGTAAAAGACATCAGAGATATTTTAATATGGATGATATATTAGATGTTATGTGCCAGTGTGAGATTTCTTGAGAGTGACAATGGTGTTATGGTTATGTCCGTGTATGTCCTTGTTCTTGGGAGATACATGCTGAAATAGTTAGGAGTGAAAGGTCATGAAGCCTGCAATTTATTTGCAAATGATTTAACAGTACTACGAACTATACACACAGAGATAAAGCTAATGTGGGGAAATGTTGGCCTGGTGAAGCTGAGTGAGAGGTAAATATGGTGTTCATTGCACGTATACAAGGTGTTTTGGTTTGACATCTTACCAATATTAAAATTTTGGAGGGAAGAAGACCCAATAGCCATTCCTGATTCCTGATCAGAATCTTCTCTCTAAAAAGGGTTTAATTCCTAGGGAAAAGATATTCTCGCTTGATGGTAGTTAAGTATCTATTCCTTCTTCATCTAAATTTCTTCTTTTTCCCCCTGGAAAAGGCAGGTTCCTAAGAAGGCTGAGCCATAAAGCCAAATAATCCTATAAACAGCGAATCCTGCATACTTTACTCAGGTTTAGCCTCAGAATGTACCAGCTACATTCAGGTTGTCCTCCAAAGGCTACGCACATTTTATATGCATGCAAGTTTCCTAGTATCTGTGGAAGAAGCCTCCGTACTGTGTCATGATTCCAAACTTCAATCCTAAAATGTCGTTCCTAGTTATATGGCATTTGCTATATGCACGTTTACGGTTGATGAACCCGTGAGCTTGCAACCCATTTCCCTTTTATTTTCCTTTGTGCTTTATGCAGTGATATCTGGACTCTCCACCATGACCTTGTTGGTCAGGGTAAAAGCGATTTAAGTTGCAGTTGATTCTTTAGCATCTAATAAAGCTTAATCGTTTTCACAAAATGTGCTGAAAGGAATGTTAACCTGGAAAAGAGACTACAGATCAGCATCCATTATTTTATTGTTGCTGTCAAAGGAGTGAATCAGGGTAGATCTCTTAATAACTGAGTGATTTACTGCTTCTTATTTATGTGTGAGAAGTAATACATTCTAGAGTAATTAGGATTTAACTGAACATTCTTGACTGTGCTTGCATTTAAATGTCTCTTGTCTCCTTTATCTTTTTCTTTCAAATATACTGATTCTGTGAATTGATGAAACCAGTGTCAAATTTAACACAGGCTCTGTATATTGGTAACACACCCCAGGAAGCAGAAAACTTTTAAAATCAATTCCTAGAAAACATAGTACAGTAGCCTCTACTGTAGTTTCTGAGGCACCCAGCTAGGCTGAATTTGTCTTCTCTTTTTTCTTTATTTCTGGAAATTGCTTTCAGAATGTGGTGAAAAGCATTGCAGATGAAGCCTGATACCAGATTCCTCTTCTTTTAAAAAACAAACTGAAACACAATTAAACGTATAATGGAAGATTCTCCAAAAATAAAAGAAATAGTCCTTGGAAGCTATAATAGTGCTTTATGTTTTCATTGTATAGTGTGAGTTCACATCTCCTAGGACTTCTAACTCAGTGAGGGAGGCAAGATGTGTATTAGTATCTTCATTGGACAGATTTTTTTAAAAGGGTTGTCTGATCATATGACTAGTTGTGCTGTAGACAGAAGTAGAATAAGGATTTTCTGTCTTACAGTCCATTGCTTTTTCCTTCACTGCTTTGTCTAGGTGGGATCACTCTTGGCCTGTCACATGATTTTTAAAGGGCAGTTTTCTCATGTGGACATCTACAATGCCTGGAAGTTGACTTTAAAGTAACTACTGTAAAGATTTATGGAATTCTTCCTAGTTCTTTCTTTTTGGTCTCTCAGTTCGACTCAGACCCTGCCAACCCAGAACCAAATGAGGAAGATAGGGGAGGTGGTGAGAGTGAGACTCTCCCCCTTTCCCCTGTCTTTCATTCCTGGCTTCCTTCTGTTAAAGCCGCAGCTCTGATCATTCTCATACGACGATGCTTAGAGCTGCTCCTGAGCTCCTTCTGCCTTGATTCTTTTTCTTCATCTAGAATCCCTAAAATCCATAGGTCGGGCAGTTGTCTAGTTGACCAGGATCGTTTTCTTGTCACTGTTCCTTAAATTCTGTTCCAACCAGCTCTCCCAGTTGTTTTCCTCTGCAGAGCATGAGGTCATTTCCCCGCAGGGATTTACTCTGTCCAGGGGAGCCTCTGACTTGGAGCAGCTTATCTCCTTTGCTGCTAAGGTCTGGCTGCATGCCTGTCTTTCTGTACAGTATCTGTTCTTGTTTTCTCATCTCTCCATCTCATAATCTGACTATTGCCCAGAACTTCACTGGCCTAAGATACAGTGGTGCTTTGTCTGTTGGCTTCCACTCTGTTCAGCTGACCTTGCTAATTTTTCCTGTGCTTGTGTGTCCTCCAGCTGGGACCAGTGTCTCCACTACTGGCCTCTGCTGAATCCTGAGGGCTCCGTGCCCATCTGCTTTCCTAGACTCTTCACATTCTTCACACTCCTTTCCTACCCCTTGCTGGAACATAGCAACTCAATTCCGTGGAACCTTAAGGTTGCGAGGCTTTTCGGTTAATCTTAACAGAAGAGTCCCAAAATTCTTCCCCCTACATGAAGAAAGGGAAAATGGTTTTAGAGCACCAGTCAGGAAATCTTGAGTACTTAGCTCAGCACTTCTTGCTTCCACTACATGCTTTAGAACAGCATTTCCCTGAGGAATATTACTTATGCAAGATGTCTTCCCAGAGAAGGGCTGAACAGTTAACAACTCAGGAAAGCTGTATATTGTATTTCTTCTTTTGGACATTTATAATGTACATTAACATGTTAAAGACTCTAAAAAGAATTGCAGTAAATATAACCTCTTTCAAACCAAATAACTTTGATATTTCCCAGCTTATTTCAACATGGAGTCTTCGGTCATCATCATCAGCGGCTGTAACCTTAACATCTTAAGAAACACTTGGGAGATGTTCCCATTGATACAGCAAACTGTTCACATGGTGTTAATTCTCTCCCTTAGGCTAGAGCGCCCTTTCTCCTCGTTTCTTTTCTTTCTCTCTACTTTCTTCCCACCCTCCCCAATCTGGGTGCTTTATTTAGTTTTCCTTTTTGGGGAAGGACTGGGGAAATCACTGTAGTATGCACTTATTACTGTAATATAGTGTCCTTCCTCAAGGGACCTGATTTCTCTCTCTCTTTTTTTCTCATTAGCGTGCATCTTCCCTAGTCCAGTACTGTATGATTCAGCCTTGTTCCTTCTCTTTCAATACTATATAGTGCTTAGCTCACCCTTGGGAACCTCCTAGGTAGATCTG